AACATGGACTTCTTGTCTTCCCGGCCTCTCTTCAGCTGACCTCTGGTCCCCCTCCTTTAAGATCGCTGGGGAAAAGGAGGTGAACAGATCCTAGAAATCTGTGACTTACCCCGTCTCCACCCCCATCCTCCTACATCTAAGCTGCCCATTAAACGTAGGATAAGATGTAAGGACTCCTCTGCTTCATCCCGTCCCTGGGAAACATGGACTTCTTGTCTTCCCGGCCTCTCTTCAGCTGACCTCTGGTCCCCCTCCTTTAAGATCGCTGGGGAAAAGGAGGTGAACAGATCCTAGAAATCTGTGACTTACCCCGTCTCCACCCCCATCCTCCTACATCTAAGCTGCCCATTAAACGTAGGATAAGATGTAAGGACTCCTCTGCTTCATCCCGTCCCTGGGATCACAGTTGGTGCTGCAGTACAGTCGTGGTCCCATTGGTGTGTAGGTGATCACGGCTGTTGCTGCAGTACAGTCGTGGTCCCATTGGTGTGTAGGTGATCACGGCTGTTGCTGCAGTACAGTCGTGGTTCCATTGCTGTGTAAGTGATCACGGCTCATACCTTGAGCATCTTCAAATATTCACACTGTGCAATAACAATATTAAACCTGTTTAAATCCTGTGAGCATTGGTGCCTTGACCACGTGGCTGCAGCTTGAGTAAGACTGGATGTGTCTACAACTGACTGCAGTGCTCCTCTGGGCACTCCCTGCAAAATGCAGCCTTTGGGATTTTGAGCTGTGTCTTTTGCTCCTTACATAACACCTGGAATAGGAGGAAAACATGCACAGCGTAGTGCAATCTGAGCAGGCACACGGCTGCTGTGGCAAGACTCTACCTGGAGCACAGTGAGGTTCACAGACTGGTTAAAGGAACATTACCCAGTGCCTGGGCACGACAGTAAGGAAAGTCTGATGTTGCTGTGTGACAAGATTGACTACCCACGGATTCCAATATGCATAATCTGCACTGGCGAGACCTTGCAATGCAAATGCTTGATCCTCTCATTAACCCACCAATCAGTGACGAGGGTTACTTGCACACTTCCTCCGGGCACTGGTAAATGGGCTCCCTCGATTTTAATAGTTTGGTATAAACAGGACAAGCATAAAATAACCAAAACGATTGTTTAAAGTTAATATTTTAAATCTCTCGGGCAACTTTTCTTGGACTTACAGCATTAGTCAGTGGGCAGGGAGGCTTCCGCATGGGGCCAGGCCATGCCTCTAGCGCTGTGTGCTGTGTAGTGGGATTGTCTCGCATCTTACTTCATGTCCAGCTGCTGGCCATGGCCAACGGGAGGCAGAGTGTGTGAGTTCTTCCTCTAACCATTCTGCTCTCAACTCTTTCTTTCTTTATATTAATAAACCTTCCGATTTCAGAAGCTAAAGGACTGGCCCCGCGAGCTCTCTGGGTACGTTCCGAGGTATACAGCGACCTGGGAATGTGGGATCAGAAGAACCTGTTTGGAGTTGGCGAGACTAGGTTTCATCACCTCTCGCCTGTGTGCGGAGCGGTGCTGGTTGTGGCACAGGTACAGCTGGCGTGTCAAAGGGATTTGCTCGTGTAACTTCTTGGTGGCCAGAGTGGCAGCTGAAGTGCGGCTGGTTTTGTGCCTTTCAGAGGAGGAGCCCAGTCTTGGGCTGTAGGTAGCCCAGGTTCTAAGCAATTTGCCCTGATTTGACCCTCACAGCAGTGCCCCAGATCCCCTGTTATATTACGGTGGTGCAGTCGTGCCTGGATCCTCAGAACCATGGCAGCTGAGCTTCGGCTCGGAACCCCACCCTAGTCTAGATTTGGATTTTGGGATCGAGAGTTTGGTTGGTTAAAAAGCCGTTGCAATGAGCCAGCAATAACGTGAAGATCATTGCAAACAAGGCCTTGAAGATTTGTGCTCAGAGAAAGGAAGTTGCCTTTAGAAAGAAAGCTACTAAGCAAGAACTGAGATCTTTGCTAATGATCAGTGACCAGCAGGCAAGAGAGCAGTCCTTATCCAATGTTCTAGGGGCAGCGGAAGCAGTTAGTGTGCAGCCAGCACTGAAGAAAATGGAGCTTGCCTATGAACAAAAACTTGCAGACCTTCAGCAAAAGGCGAAAGAAAAGGGTGCCGAGAGAGAGAGAGAGAGAGAGAGAGGGAGAGAGAGAGAGAGAGAGAGAGACGGAGAGAGAGAGAGGCTGCTGAAAGAGAGCAAAAGGCCAGAGAAAAGAATGCTGAACTGGAGACAGAGGCCCACACCAGGCAAATGGTATTTCTGGCTGCTGAAGAAAGAGCTAGGCAACAAGGGCACCATTTCAGGCACGGGGCGGGGGGAATGGGGAGCGTCCCAAAGCGCACAGCTGGGGCTGGCTTTTCATCCTGGTCCCCGGACCCTAAGGGAGTGAGGGGAAAGTGCCTCTCTCCAGGCTTTCATACCACACCCACCTCTACCCCAAGGGAGAGCCAGGGTGGGCCCTGGTGGTGGGAGGGGTACTCAGGACTCCAGAAGAATACAGCCGTCCAGAGAGTCCGTTTATTTCACAAGGTGGAGCCTGCTAAGGGTATGTCTGCATTGCAATTAAAAACCCGTTGCTGGCCTGTGCCTGCCCACTAGCGCTCACAGAACTTGGCTGCACTGTTTAATTATGGGGCAGGCATTTGGGCTAGGGCTGGTACTTGAGCTCTAGGACCCTGCAAAGTGGGAGAGTCCGGGGCTAAGGCTGCAGCCCTCGCCAGACCCTTTACACTGCAATTAAACAGCCCTTGCCGGGAGCCTGCAAGCCCGAGTGTCTTGGTGCAGTGTGGACACAGGCATAAGGAAAAAACTTGGCTGCACTGTTTAATTATGGGGCAGGCATTTGGGCTAGGGCTGGTACTTGAGCTCTAGGACCCTGCAAAGTGGGAGAGTCCGGGGCTAAGGCTGCAGCCCTCGCCAGACCCTTTACACTGCAATTAAACAGCCCTTGCCGGGAGCCTGCAAGCCCGAGTGTCTTGGTGCAGTGTGGACACAGGCATAAGGAAAAAGAGCAG